AAAGGAACTTCAAAAGCTGGAGGGGGGAATCCAATTTCATTTATAAAAAATCAAAATCAAAATCTTATCACTATTGTAATTTCTGATGTCCTATTCATACCTTGGACATTTTAAGTACCTACACCTCTTAACTGCACTAGGGAAGACACTGAGGTAAAAAGCTGGCAGATGCAGTTCATCTCATCTAGCCCACAGGCCTCTTTAATGATGTATGCCTCACTTTAGCTTTCGTTGTGCAAAACAATCCCGAGTGTCACATTGATGCAGCATGCTTTATTTCTGGGTGCAACAGTGCCCTCAAATGCCAGATTTGCGGTCTTGTAAGCACATTTCTGCTGGATCGGTGAGTCCAAGAGAAAACAGACAGCCTAGCAGGTACCAAAATTTCCCAGAAAAGGATTAATCTGAGATCTGGACAAGCTGTTCATCCTGGAAGGGGAACTCCCTCAACCAGATGGGACAAAGGCAGGCAACGCGACATTCTCCAGTCTCATGAGGCAGGGCTGTGTGCCAAAGAAAGGGCACTGTGACATGAGCTTCTGGAGTCCTTAATACTACAGGAACGTTCCTTAGCCCTACAGGAATGTCCCTTCCAAAATCTCATCTCAGGGCTTTACTCAGTTTCAGCCCCAGCACACCTCACATCAGCAAGGTAACTGCAACTGGAAGGCAGCTGATCTCAAGTGAGGCAAGGGACACTCAGCTGATCCACAGCGGTTCTGCTTTTACACGGCACGTACATGCCCATACCTGTGACCTTGGACTTCTCTGGCTCGGTGCTCAGCCTGTAGTTCTTCCTCGAGAAAGCAGTCCCAGCACCTCTTGACGTCATTCTTCACAGGCACCACTTCTAGAGTGGACATAAGACAAACAGACGCCTAGAATAAAACTTGCTGGGGAGGATGCTGCCTTTAGACTTCTCCCTTTCTTGGAGGCTGATGTACCTGGATTGAACAGGGATAAGCCAAAAAAATAGCCATATTCCTTGCACTAACGACATCATACAAGAGCCCAAAGCCAACCAACTGCCAACCCCGCTCTCAGTCCCATCTGTCCAACAGCTCAAAATCTTCCCAAAGCGGACAAGGCATTAAGCCACAGGCCAGCCAACCACGCAGACCCCAGTCCAACCAAAGGCACAGGCAGAACCAAGCCAGAACGACAGGCAACCTTTGCACCGAGTTTGAGCCAAAAGCACTGAGCCACCACAGCTAACACCACTGCCAAACAGGGCCGAAACTGGCAACCGCGTTGCACTTCTACTCATGTCCTGATGAGACACTTCTGCCTTTCTCTCCTGCACCGTATTCTTTAGGACAGGAATATGCACCTGGTTAATCTTCTGCTCAACAGATTATTAGATTATTTAACTATCCAAAACAGAGAGAGAGGGAGAATGAATGAGACAAATGCAGATGAACTGGACTACAAAAGAATATCATTGACTACAAAGCAAGAGACGCAGCTGTCGGTTTTAAAGGGACAAAAGCAGATGCAGGTAGAAGCATGCAGAAGTGTTTACAGGTGAAAACCTACTATGAGACTAAAGATTCATGACCCTTCCTGGTATCAACAGAATGCAAAGGGAGCTGATCTGACATGTGCCAACACAAACACAATAAATTCAAGTTCCTAGTTCCATCCAGCTTCAAAATGTTAGGTCACACCCCTCTCCAGTTTCCGATTGCCCTGAGAGGTGACCATCTCTGGAAGCCTCTCTCGTTCACTAGACAGCCGTCTGACAAACCACTTTGTGACAGACAGAACAACAGGAAGAGGCAACAGGAGCAAAGGCTGCAGGAATTAAATGCTTGCTGGCAATCTCATACAGAGCAGAAACTAAGGTGAACCCAAGAAAAGTTAGTGAACTTGCCAAGTGACGCAAGTGCCATGGCAACTCTACTGACAGAAGATCACTCAAGCTTCAGCTAGACTCAGGAAAGGATTTCCCAAAGCCCCTTTCCTCAGGGCCACCCCAGAATCCAGCAGCAGAGCAGCACTGCCCGGCGTCCCTCCTGCAGCACTGCTGAGCGAAACCACAGGAACAAAGCGAAAACCAGCCTGGATCAACGGCCCTGAACAATCTGCGTCAGAGACTCAAAACAAGGAATAAAACAAACTATAAACAGAAAGACATCATTTACTACCAAATCAGAACAGACAGCACAATGTGCACCATCCTAAAAGTACTTTAGATGTGAGATGTGATTTCACCTCTGTTAGGACAAATTAAAAACATCTGAGGGTGGCAGGGAGTGCTCCTAGCTCTTCCCAAGAGTGGCCAGCTCAGCGCCCATGCTGCCGAAACAGCCTGAATGCCCAGGCAGAGAGCGCCGCATGGCCACATCGGCACCGTACGTAGGAGATGCACTGTTGGCACGGCTGCAGTGCTAGGTTGTTGGGTTGTTTGTTGGTTTGTTGGTTTTTTTTTTTTTCTGGTTGGAGCAGACACTGCTTTCAACAGGTCGGAGAACGGGCAGAGCAGGGACACACACACATCTGCCATTCACAAAACTGGCCCCAGTAGCTCTGGCAAAGACACCCAGCTCTGGCCACGGGTTAAACTCCCTTCCCTGGGCCATGGCAGGCAGCTTCCAGCAGAAGGGCAGAATAAACAACATGGGGGAAGCCAGATCTTAAATGGAGCCGTCCGGAGGAGGAGGAGGAGGAGAAGCTGGGCCAGAAAACTCAGCTTTGTCCAGCAGCTGCTGACTGAGCCCTCCGACTCCCACCAGGGCAGCGGGGATGAAGCCGGCAGGGAGGCAACCAGGCGGCAGACACCCCCCCGCACCCCTCGGGATGCCGCTCTGCGTTCATGGCAAGGGCGGGTTGCTGTGGCACCCCCAACCTGGCAGCAACCCCCACACAAGAAATACCGGCCAG